CCTGCTTGCCCGGCAGATTTCTTTTCTGAGTGATGCTTGTCTCACTCAGAGGCATGGGCAGCGTGCTGCCCCCGGGGGGGCTTTCGGCAATTCTTTCACAGCTCAGGGAGCTTCCAGCTCACATGCAGCTGCTGCAGTAGGGAGACAAATGATTTTTTCCTCTTTCTTTAAATTTCTTCGAATTTATCTGAGATCCAGGATGGCAAACCGTCCAGTTGAGGGACTGAGTCGATAACTGGGCAGTGCCTGGTGGACCAAGGGTGTATCCCAAGAGCTTATCTGACTCAGTCCAATCAACGAGAGGGTAAGGACAACCCATCCTGGATACTCCTCCCCTCACTATGTAGAATAAATCGATCACTACCTCCAGGGAGATGCTAGGAAGATAATAAATCATGAAAAAATTACAGTATTAAGAAATCACCCCTGAGTACTTAAAGAGTGTTAGAAAGATATGACCACAAACAGTCAGGTGAGCCCAAACAGTGGGGAAATTTACATTCCAGAACTCAGCTCACCAGGAAGCTGGGAAAAAGGATGTTTTGTATCTTACAGCCCCTTTTTAACATTTCTCCCACCCTTTGGAATCCTCACCTCCATTCTCGGATAATTAGCTAGGGGAAATTAATATTTCCATTTACTTTGATTGGAAAGGAAGGGATTCCAAGAGAGTATGTCACTTCAGACAACACAAGGAAGGCTGGAGGGTGAGGGTGAAGCTTATTAAGGTTTTGCCAATTTCAGATAGCAGCACAAACCAGCCAGAGGGTCTTAATTAACTTCTTATAGGGGAGCACAGCAGTTTGGGAAGAGATAGCTTATTTAAGCAATCTCTCTGCTCTGCGGGGGGGGGGGGTAAATTCTTCCAGGAGAGAGAGAGAAGGAAAATGGGTCAAGCAATGGAACACAGGGATGGCCTTCCCCAACTGCAGGCAGCTTCCAGCACTGACAACTGAAGGTGAAGCCAAGTCAACACCAGCACATAAGGGCAGCCAGCAATCCAGCATTGAGTGAGCGGCATGGGTATTGGTCAACTTCATCACAAAGTACATGTAAAGAGGGTAGTCTTGAAGGACAAAGAGAAGAGGCAAAATCAGAGGCGAAGAAAGTGGTTTAGGGAAATGCCACAGACAGCCCTCCCTCCCCAATTCTCCTGAAGATAAACCAAGAGGGAGGAAAGGAAGGAATCTTGTAGTCAGACTTGCAAGATTCTGTTGTTATAGCTCATCAAAGTAACTTATAGCCTGCCTTTTAAGGCTGACAATTTGGGACGTAGTTGGGAGGCATTGCCACCAATCAACACCGCCAAGCCTTCCAACTGAGATTCGAGAGCAGTGGTGGGATTCAATTTTTTTTACTGCCGGTTCTGTGGGTGTGGCTTGGTGGGCGTGGCTTGGTGGGCATGGCAGGGGAAGGATACTGTAAAATCTCCATTCCCACTCCACTCCAGAGGAAAGTTACTGCAAAATTCCCATTTCCTCCCAATCAGCTGGGACTCGGGAGGCAGAGAATAGATGAGGGCGGGGCCAGTCAGAGGTGGTATTTCCCTGTTCTCCGAACTACTCAAAACATCCGCTACCGGCTCTCCAGAACTGGCGAGAACCTGCAGAATACCATCTCTGATGCCAGCCGAGAAATGACACAAGTACCCTGGGATTGCATGGGGCTGGGAAGGCTGTGTGTAAGTTGAAAGAGTCAGCAAGAAAAATCCGTAAAATGTGGCATTACTTCTGTAAAAGAAAGGCAGAAGACAGAAGAAGAAAGCACAGCTGAATTAGAGCAGAAAATATGAGCTATGAAACTGAAGAACAAAGTATTTTTATAGATAAGAAAATAGAAACAACTTGGGTTAAAGTTGTACTTTTGGTAATATTCATATAATGAAAAATTTTAAGGTGCCTCCTCACTAGTTCGGTCTGTAAGAAGTTAGAACCCACCTCTCTGCTAGAAAAATGAAAAAAATTAGGAAATATTAAAAGGACAGAATATTTCCCCTAAAAGGGAGGCAGAAACTCAGCCTCCCACCTTTGTCAATGGGCCATTAAGGCCTGAGCCAATCTATTTTAGCTAACAAAGATCTACCTCCTTCAGGCAGAGCCATACTAGGAATTGCCCAAATCCCTTTCATTACATCATCATCCATCATCCACCCAACCAAGCTTGGGACTCAGGACAGCCTACAGAGTTGCCCCTGCATGGCCCCATGGGAGTCTGACAACCAATCAGAATACAAGCTCAAATTCAAAAGGCCAGAAAGGGCATAAAACCCAGGGCACTGTCAGCATCTCTTCCTTTTCCCCCCAGGCCCTCAAACCATGTGGTCCTGTCCATCATCAATAAACCTTCTTCCCAAGCAACTTCCATGAATCCATTCTCTACTTGGAACTGAACCCAGAAGGACATTTCTTCCAACAGGTCAGTATGCGTTAGCCAGTCTTGCAAAAGTGCCTAAAACAACAATGGATAGATTCCCATGTTGTTTCTAGTAACGCAGTGCTCACTTAAATTTGGTGCTTTGTTCAACAAACTATAGCTTCGTAGAGTATATGAACCAGAATGTAGAATACATCCAAGACTGAGCTTAAATTAATATTACATAGAAAAAAATGCTTACATTTTTCTATCAGTTATTATTCAGTTTAATGTAGAATTTGCTTTTGATATTTATTTATTTTTCCA